GGTACTTTCTTCTGTCAACAGAGCATCCTGCAGTCTGGACGCTCTCTGTCGACAAAGCAAAAAGTTTTGTCTATAGTTTTGTCTATTGCTTCAGTAGTCTAGACGCGCTTTGTCTACAGAAGTTTTGTTGACAGATTCTGTCGACAAAACTTCTGTCGACAAAACCCTGTAGTCTAGACGTACCCATAGGAAAATGGATTTAAATCCATAGGATTTAATTAATCACTGCTTCATGTACATCAAAATGGCCACTGCGCTGTGCTGATCAGCTGTTTGGCGGCACAGCGGGGCGTCTGGACACGCCGCAGTCGACAAGGGAAGCCTTTGTTGACTGCTCTGGTAAACCTCATTTCACGAGGAATACCGGAGCGGTCAACAAAGGCTTCCCTTGTCGACCACAGTGCATCCAGACTGCCCCGCTGTGCCACCAAACAGCTGATTGGCACAGCGTGGTGGCCATTTTTATGTAAATGAAGCGGTGATTATTTAAATCGCCGCTTCATTTTCCTATGTCTAGTAAACTTATTACATGACTCTGTCGACGGAGCCATTTAGTCTAGACATACTGTAACAGAAATATATAGGATCACGAGTTTTCATGGGTAAGTCACACTCATTTGATGAAGTGGGTTTTACCCAGCAGTGAAGGTAACTTAAAATTTCTTATGGGTAATATCTTATTGCCACCCAGGTCTCTGCCAGCTCTTTAAACAGCTCCCTGCTGGCTTTTGATGCAGGTCAGACAGCTCTTGCCAGAGCTGCACACTAAAGCGTACCCACTTACTTTCACCTCTGGTCTTACTCATGAAAGCTCATGATCCTATATATTTTAATTATTCTGTAAGGTGCCACAGGGAACTACTCATTATTTATAATGTACTATGTTATAGACTATAATATATTTCATTTTCCATATCCATTTTATGCACAAAATACATCACTTTAACCTAGGCCAGTGGTCACCAACCAATAGATCAGGACCTATTGGTAGATCTTGGAGCCTCTGACAGGTTTGGCCAAGAGGCCATCAAGCGCAGCACTTCAGCTGCCCCTCCCCACGCTGCTGTGCCCTTTGCCTTGGAGCTCTTCCCCCTCTCCAACCCTCTAGTCTATCTCCACAGAATGGGGATTTAGGGCACAACAGGGTTGGGGATGGAGGGAGTTTGCTGGCTGCTTTTGAGAGTGGTGCGGGAACAGGGTAGGAGTAAGCCTGCCTTAGCCCCACTGCACCACCCCCCAGGAGCTACCTGTGGTAAGCAGTGCCCAGCTGGAGCCTGCATCTTGAATCTCTGCCTCAGTCATGAACCCCCTCCTGCACTCCAAGCCCATGCCCTAACGCTGAGCCCCCCTGGATCCAGACTCCCTTATAGAGCCTTACTCTGAACCACCTCCTGCACCCCAACCCCTGCCCCAAGCTCAGCTCAGAGCACTTCTCACACCCCAAATCCCTTAATCCAAGACCAAAGCCTGCACCCCAACCTTACCTGATGAAAAGGAGAAAGGATGCGGGAGGGAGGAAGGATGGAGTGAGCAGGGGTGGGGCCTTTGAGAAGGGGCACGAAGGAGGTGGGGCAAAGGTATTTGGGTTTCTGGTAGATCCTGGATTGAACTTAAATTCAAAAAGTGATCTCATACTTTAAAAGATAAAATTGTAATCTTGAATCCAAACACCAATCCCTTTGTCTGTCTAAAACAGAAATGGGCAAACAAATGTGTTCTGACATTGATGTAGTCTCTCTCTCTTTCTAATATGTATGGAACAAATTCATTGTGTTTCAGAACCTTCATGTAGAATTATGTGACATTTTTCACTTACACTTTTTTTAACACAGAAATATGCAGGTTCTGGTGACACTGAAACACTTTGTGAATTAATGTGAATTAATATTGATTTTACCAAACTATTCATTTTTCAAAATGTTCAGAACAAAGTGTTTTATTTTTGATCAATGTTTGTTTGCCTCCGAACAAAGGGGTTGTTTTTTCAACTTTTCTATTTGCTAAAAATTTCACAAAATCACAAAACATCCCTTTACTTTTATTTGAAATCTGTGTGACAAATGTGGAACTTCCTAATGTCATTTTCATGGCTACTGAACTACAAATTCAAATTGTAGGAAATGGTTGGGATTCTTTTAAGGTATTGTGGTAATCATTGGTTTTAGGGACACCCATAATTTTTGTTGTCTCTACTGTAACATTCATAGACAAAAAAGTAAAAATATTGTAATCTTTTTGTACTGCCTGACATTACAAATTTGTACTCCTCTTTCAGGGTTTGTTGGGGATGAAAAGTGTGAAGGAAATTTTAGGCTTGATATTGGCTTTTGGAAATTATATGAATGGGGGGAACAGAACAAGAGGTCAAGCAGATGGATTTGGATTGGAAATTCTTCCCAAACTGAAGGATGTCAAAAGCAGAGTAAGTACTTGTTTTTATTTTAAAGGGCATTTGCCAAATGATCTCTTTAATGTTTCATCATCTGCAAAAGGTTGATTTATCTTTTTTGCTTCTTACCATTATCTGTTTTAAACAGCAACACAGTTTTGTTACTTTTGAAATTTGTTATTTTCCTTCACTGTCCTCTTGCACAAATAATTAGAATCACAAAGAATTTTCCTTCTCACTTACTACTGGCCTCTGCCTCTTTCTGCCCCCTGAACTCCCTGCCTCACACATGCACATATAGACATCTCCTATATCACCTAGATTCTTCCACTGGAAAGATTATCCTAGTGTCAAAGCCTCTTTGTGTATTTGTCAGTTACAAAAGCTACAAGCTTGGGTGGAAATATTTTGAGGACCAAGTTTATGGACAGTGGCTAGAAACTGGAAACCTGAAGGGGCAGATATGAGTTTGTGTTTGTATTCTTGGTGGAAGTGTCTGCCCAGGTCCTACAAGGTGTTGCCTGTCTCCATTTTTAAGTTGGCAAGTATCACAGCTTCTTCAAATAACAGTTGTAACACACTAATTCTGAATTGCTACATTGAGTGAACAAGAAAAATCAGTGTGGATTCTGTTCTCAAAACCTGCAACCCCAAAGAGTCTCTTGATAGTTACAGTTTTCATGAGCATGTTTAAAAATTAGCCTCACCATGTTGCCCTACCTCCATCTCAAGAGGGGTGAGATTTGATCAGATCAGCACTGGAAACACAAACCTTTGGTCCTCGGGAGTGGGAGAGCCGTATGACAGTTATTCTGCTGTTGCTGCTGCTGCCCTACCTTCTCTGACTGAAAATGGAGGTATAATTTGAACTGTTTTTCCCAGACTAATATCAGACTTTCAACTTAGAGAAGGACTTTTTTTCCATTTGGCACAATGTGTCCTACCACAGTTTAGAGCAGTGGTCCTTAACTATGGGGCATGGAAAAATGTTCAAGGAGATGCAGCAGGGCCAAGCCCTACCCCAGTTCCTCTCTGTCCCCTCTCCCCCTTAAACATCCTCTCAGCTCTGGCTATTGCTCTACTCCTGGCTGCACCCCCACTCTCAGCCTTGGACTGTGTGTGTGGAAGGGGAGAGGCCAGATCTGTGCCAGGCAGGAGAGGGGCAAGTGGCTCAGGTTAGCTGAGCATGTGGAAGGGAGAAAGGGTGAGCTCTGTGCAACAGAGGTGGAGGGAGGGCTGGAGGGAAGGGAAAGGGGAAGGGGTGGCAGGGTGACCAGATGTCTGGATTTGATGGGAACAGTCCCAATACTTGGGGCTGTGTCTTCTATAAGTGCCAATTCATCCTGCACCCCCATCCTGAATTTTCACACTTGTTATCTGGTCACCCAGTGGGGAGGGGCTTGGGGGAATTCTGTGCCACATGGGGGAAGGGGGAAAGCAGAGGAGCTCAGTGCTGCTCCATTCCAGGCAGGTGGGCAGTGGGGAAAGGGATTCAGAGCAGCTCCACTCCTTGGAGGGGGACAGAGAAACTGGCTTGGGTAAGCTGTGTGCTATGCAGGGGGGAAGGGAAAGTCGCTCTCTCCAGCCCTGCACAGGAAGGCCCCTCACTCCAGCATCACACTGGGCAAGGGGGGCATCGTTTGAGCACTGTGCTAGGGGAGGGGACTGTGGTCCAGGGCTGAGTGAGGTACGGGGGCAGTAGTGGCTCTTCATCTTGCACAGGTAGAGGCCTCAGGCCAGCTCATTGAGGGACTCAGGCAAGCAATACCATATTTTCCGGCGTATAAGACGACTTTTGATGTTAAAAAACATCCCCCCAAAATCGGGGGTCGTCTTATATGCCGGGTATGCGGCTTTGCAAAGCCGCGGAGGGGCTGCGGCGGCGGGGCAGCCCCGGCGCGCCAGGGCTGCCCCGCTGCCGGGGCATCCTCAGAGGCTTTGCTCCCAGTGTCCCTGGTCTGCTGGAGATGGTCCCCAGCAGACCAGAGGCACCGGGAGCAAAGCCGAAGCGGCGGCGGAGGGGCGCTGGGGTATAAGACAAAACCCTATCTTTTAACTAAAAAATTAGGGGGTCGTCTTATACGCCCAGTCGCCTTATACGCCGGAAAATACGGTACTCAATTAACTCTGCCTATGGGTTGAAGGGTTGCTCATCACATGTACAAAAGCTTCTCTGGGTGGGTTGGAGGCACGAATGCAGGGGGAAGAGTAGAAGTGGTAACAGGGAGAGAGGAGGAGCAGGAGCCATAGCTAGAGTTCCAGTTGGTCAATGCCCCTAGGCTCAGTGGTCCATAAATAATCCACCACTGGGTAGCAGAGGGACAAGATCTAGAGGTGGGTTGACTCGTAGAGATTGACTGAAAATAGCCAACCATGAACATTGATTATGTGGCATGGAGGCCATTTATCACCACACTGAACTCAAATAAATGCCTGGAAAAAATACTCCACGTTTTAAAATCTGTCTCAGTATCCATGAGCCAGTCTTCTTTCTGTTCTAATCAAATCAAGGTGTGTGGGACCTACCAGAATACAATCCAGACTAATAAGTGGCTGTGCCCTCTCTGCCCTCCAACCTGTGGTGTCGTTTACAATACTTTACTGATATAGCCTCCAGTAAGAACTGCTCACAAGGAGCCTCCGGCATGCAAGTCGCTCCCAGACTTAGCCTTTCCCCAGAAATGAATGTCCTGTATTACCCAACCCTCTCCCGAACAATACAAGTTTATATGAAGTCTGTTGTTGCTTCAGAAGAAATAATATGCATGTAATGTGTATGGACTGATTATGAATATCGATAAAATTAAGACAATGGTATTTGGAGATAAGGAAATAGGAAGGAAGATCATTGTAGATGGGATCAAACTAGAGAACGTAGAGAAGTTCACGTATTTGGGGAGCAACATAACGTATGATCTAGACTGTAAGAAGGAAATAGTGACTAGAATAGCAAAAGCAAGAGTGTGTTTGAAGGTGATGGATAAGATCTGGAAAAGTAAAGTGATTAACTTAGGAATGAAGCTGAGTGTCTTGAAAACATGTGTATTTGGCAGCACGTTGTATGGATGTAAGACATGGGTGATAACAAAAGATTCAAAGAGAAGGTTATTGGTGTTTGAGATAGAAAGATCCTGAGAATAGGATGGATGCAGAAGATCATCAATGAGGAATTATATAGGAAGATACAGCTGAAAGAGAACCTACTGCAGAAGGTTATACGACGGAAGTTACAGCTATTCAGGCATATCTGCAGAATGAACGTTGAGCAAAAAGTTAAGACCCTGGTATCTGGCATAATAGATGGTCCGAATAGGAGAGGCAGTAGATTGGTGCAGAGCTATTCTACAAAAACAAAGCCACTCTGCACTGGACAGGGAAAGATGGAAGGAAATAGTGAGGGAGGCATTGGACACCAATGAGCGTTGAGTCCATGGTTGATGATGATGATGAACTTGTCATTCTAAATGATGTTTCCCAGACACTTCAGATAAACACACTGGAGTAGATAAAATAATAAAACAAGATTATTAACTACAAAAGGAGAGATTTTGAGTGCAAGTAATGATGCATAAAAGTCAGAAATGATTACAAAAAGATAAAACACAACTGGTGCTTAACATACCAAACTATTTCAAAAGTTTCAACCATGCTAGTCTGTACTGAAAAAACTTAAAAAACAATGAATAGTCCTGCAGCACCTTAGAGACTAAAAAAAAATAGATGGTATCACGAGCTTTTGTGGGCACAGCCCACTTCTCCAGCTGAAGGGAGTTAAGGGGTCCTGATTGAAAAATAAATAGCAGAAAAAGAGAGGGAATGGGGAGGATTGTCAATTAGAGTGTCCATGCTAAATGAAGCTAATAGAGTGGGTTCTAAGTACTCTTAAGTACCTTATGCTTGGCTTTTTATGTCTTTAAGATGTGGAATGTGGCAGGTAATCCAGTTAAGGTCTTTGTTTAAATCTCTACTGCAGGTATCAATCTTGTAAATGAAATTAAGTTCTGCAGCCTCCCTTTCAAGCTGGTTTTTGAAATTGGCTTGTAATAATATGGCAACTTTGAGATCCATTATTTAATGCCTGGGCAAGTTAAAATGTTCCCCAACAGGTTAACTTTTTGATGTTAACTTTTTGAATATCTGATTTGTATCCATTAATCCTTTGTCGTAGAAACTGTCCAGTTTGACCAGTATAAATGGCAGAGAGGCATTGCTGGCACTTGATGGCACAGATCACATTAGTATATGTGCAGTTATATGAACCTCCGATGTGGTTGTTTATGTGGTTAGGCCCTGCGATGATGTCGTTACTATAGATGTGTGGGCAGAGTTGGCACCGGAGTGGATTGCAGGGATGAGTATGATGGTGTGCTGTCTGGTTGCTGGAAACAGTTTGTTTGAGGTTATGGGGTTGTCTGTAGGTGAGGATTGTCCTGGCCCCCAAAGCCTGTGAGAGTGAGGAGTCATTTTTCAGGATGGGTTGTAGATTGTTGATAATGCATTGGAGAGGTTTAAGTTGGGGGCTGTAGGTGATGACAAGTGGTGTTCTGTTGTTTTCTTTGTTGGGCCAAAGACGCTGATGTCTGGATATTCATCTGGCTCTGTCAATCTGGTGTTTTCACTTCTCCAGGTGGGTATTTCAGTTTTAAGAATTCTCTATATAGATCCTGTAGGTGTTTGACTCTGTCTGTGGGATTGGAGCAAATCTGGTTGTATCTTCGGGCTTGACTTTATTTGATTGATTGGGAAATGTGTCTTGAATGGAAGCTAGAGGTATGTAAGTTAGTGTAGTGGTTGGTAGGTTTCCAGTATAAGATGGTGGAAATGTGGCTGTCGTGTAATTGTACTGTAGTATCAAGTCATCTGAAGAAGTGGGTTGTGCCCATGAAAGCTCATGATGCCATCTACATGTTTTGTTAGTCTTTATGGTGCTACTAGACTATTTGTTGTTTTTTAAGTTTTTTCTGTTACAGACTAACCCCACTGAAAATTTTATCAGGATACTATTGACCAGCAAATTATGAGATTTCCATAATTTGTACAAAACATACCTTGTACAAAGACTATTACAGTAATGCTTAGGGTGTACATACAGGACTACCGTATTTTCTGGCGTATAAGATGACTTTTTATACTAAAAAACATCCCCCAAAAATCGGGGGTCGTCTTATACGCCGGGTATAAACATACAGGCAGTCCCCGACTTGCAGGTACGAACGGGGCTTTTCTCGCCCCGGAGGACACGGACTGCGGGACCTCGCGGTCCCGCCGCCCGTGTACTTCGGGGCGAGAAAAGCTGCTCCACGTCTCCCTGGTCTGCAGACCA